CATGGAATGCCAGCCAGTCAAAACTCTACTTCAACTTCAATACGAAAGTTTGAGAACGAACCATAGCAGAACCTTTTCCTTAGCAATTATGGAAAGTGATTGGATACACGCTGAGGAGATCGTAGGTGACATTGTATGACAAGCCATCGAGTTGAACCCGAATTGGGAACCGCCAAGTTTGGTATCCAAGAGTGAGATATGGGACGCTTAGTGAGAATGTGGTGAGAGACTATGGGCAATCATAGACCAACTAAAGAGGATTGCAGGGAACAAGATGAAGTGCAGATCTGTTGTTGAAGCCCTATGTTCCACTTGGAATCCAAAGGAATAATAAATAATAACAAAATAATATATCGTTGATATATCTGTTGCCATCTTGGACCCCCAATGTGTTGTATTCGATTCCTAAAGGCTTATACGCTAACCTGAATTCCTGCTTTAGTGAGTATTACTGTTTATTTCTTATATATCTCAATTATTCAATAAATTATTTAAATTCGTACTTTAACTTTTGAATATCCGCTCATTTGAAAAATAAAGTTTCCTAAATGTCTCAGAATATGTACATTTTGCAGTGTATATTATTTGAGTTGGTTCCGTAAATTCGCCTATTTCATCAATGAAAGCATTTGAGAAATTTAATAAAGCCTACTTCTAATATTACTTGCTTAAATCATATTATCCGAGAGGGCTATCTTTAATAGATTCAGTTGATGTCAAAACTAATAATTTCTCTTTAGAGTATTCGCAGTCCGAGCCTGTTCAACATTTCCTGTCTAGAGAATAACACAATTAGCTTAATGTCAGATTACAATGAAGGAGATGATAGACTTTTCAGACCGTTCATTCATCAGAGAAGTGGGCTAGTCATTTTGTACCAGTACTGGTTTAAATTTCTCTTTTCTTTTGACTTATTATCCTCACACATTTAAGTAGATTCGTTGGTGTAAACTGTTTTATCTTGCCAAAGTATGTGACAACTTACACAGATCCATGTTTAGGTAAATTATGCAAACAATTTCCACTGAATGGTACACATATTGACGGTAGAAGGACACACAACATCCGGAAATGTTCGCAGTAATAGCGAATAACCTTTGTGCTATCTCATTAAACGATGAAGCATACATATTTGAAAAACGTTTTTCTCAGGCTCTTAATACTGCCCGGAAAGTCAGTCAACCAAATGAAGTTTTCAATTCACGAAGTTATTCCTGTGGAAAGACTAGCAGAATGATTTATAATTGACCTAGTAAAACAACTAGAAGAAGCAAAATCTCGAAGTGTGTCACCACCTACGTTTAAGAAATGTCATTTACACTAACTCATACCTATCACGAATTTATCTAACAAATGTACAAGTATCCTTGTCGGTGCTTTAAACCAGACATTACTTCATCACAAACTTTAAACTTCACGAAGTTAACAAAGCAACTTCTGTTTTAAAATGTTATATTTTGTGTAGCTCAACTTTATTGACCTTTATTGCTGGTCAACACCGACGTTATGATTTGTCCTTGCGATGTTAAGACATCACATAAGCGTGGCTTATTTATTAATTATTTATAATAATAACAGCTTTATTCCAAACACTATGTTTTGGTACAAATACGGAATTTTCAGCATGTAAAACAGTACTGTATCTAATTTCCTCATTACATGAGTATTAATTAAAACGGTGCATTTACATTCACAATATTATTCAGTAATAATATGAATTCAAATTTAAATTAAGTGAAAATATAAATAACAATACAAAAGTGAAAAAAGGGGAAATAAGGGACATTTACTCAGTGTTTCTCAGTAATTTGGTAGTCTCCTGCCTTACACTTTTCTCGTCATATAAAATGTGTACCAAGTAAACTATTGCGGAGTTTTTAGAAATAGTAGTTCGAGAATATAGTCTTCCATAGTTGCTTCTGGTTCGAAATAATGATATACAATGGGAGAATTCAGCATACATAGGATGATCAGAGTTTCACAAGATAATATTCACTAATTTCTTCCATGACTCCTTGTGTCTGTCTGCAACAGCATTAACGAGTCAGTTTACCGACATGCCACTAACCCTACTGATAGCTTTCACTGCCTTTCTCAAGGCGATTTCAGCAACAGTGAGTTCAAATTATAGAAAACTATATGTTTCCATCAAAGTTTAACCCTCAAATATATGAAATATGGTAAGGTAAACTATAATACCAATATTTGTATTGTGATTATTAATTTACTGATAATATGTTTACCCAGTAGAAAACAACAATTTGACTATAAGAGGAAAAAAATTATGACTGCAGTGAAAACATTTAACGAGCTTTATATTTTATATTAGATAACTTTATTTGAAATAATACACAGTGATACAATATTATTAACTTGATGACATTTAGATGCTGCATGTTTATGATTGCACATTTTTGGTGTTTATTCAGTGAAAAATATTCGATGATTAACCTCTTTCTCTCTCATAAATTAAATTCCAACAAGAGATATAAGCGAACAATGCTGTTTTGAATTAGTTCTTCAGGCTTTACTCTAATTTACATAGATTTATATATAAAAATTTTAACCAATGATGCTGAGTTTGTTAGTCAAATAATAACAATGTGGTAAATCTTTTGCACGCCATAAATAACGATGATTATAATGATAACAGAATAATTATAATAAGGTTTATGCAGGTGGTGACAAGAATAACGAAGTTAGTAATATGTGAATATATAGACAATTCAATAAATAAGTTAGGTCAAATCTTAAAAGTTACGTAGTACTAAAGGTGAAGTGGAGAGATAATCAGAGATCAAGTAAATATCATTAAAACACGAAGAAAGTAGAAAATAAGAAAGGGTGGTAGGGTGTTGATTAGAGTTTACCTAGGCCAAAGAAGAGGCAAAGGAAGAACAAACTTCTTTTGTGTGCAAAGACTAGGAATGTTCTCTCGAATTCCCATAGCTTCGGCTATATGTAAAAGATGGATTCGAATTCCGTTCAGAAGGTTCAATGGAATGCGATAGATAACATTGAAGGCACTATTCTTTCCACTTGGTGACCGCAATCAATCACATGAATCAAGATCGAACCTCTTATAGATGTTAATTGACCTTTACCGAGCCATGAAGGAAGATGCTCATTGAAACGTTAGTTAAGCTGTCAGGTTCTTCGCCCCATATAGCTTTTCCCTCGGGAGCAACTAAATTTATTTTTTGGTTTTGTCTATAAACTTGATCTCATCGTCGTCGCATCATGTTTGTCAGATTATACTACTTCTTCTAACTGGATCTGCTGGATCCTAAAGCTGATAAATATTTCGGTGGGTGAGTTGGTTGTTTTAAATACCACCCGAAAGTAATGAGAATCTTACGTATGGCCCTTAATGTTCTTTTCTGTGCAGTGGTACTATCGAGACATTAAATTCCTTATTACTTGCATTGTCTTCACAATGGTATTCTTGTAATTCTTATGGAGCTTACATTTTTTCAATAAACTCTGGTACGTACCTACTTACTAGAGACGTTTTCCTTTTTTGGTTTAGTTATTTAAACCTTCTGATCTAGTAGTTAGGTTTCTGGCCTGATTGTACAAAAGTCTAACTAACCCTACCTTTACCAATTAGTGGTGGAATGAATCAAAACCTTGCTGTGTGTTAAGATATGGTGGTTTTGTGTAGAACCCAATAACTATCCCACCATCTTTTTTCACTTTACTTTATACTCCAGCATAGCTAACTCAATCTTATAATGCTTTAGCTCGACTGGGAATTGGATTCCATCAACAATTCATTTTACGCATGTGAAGGACTCATGAATATATTCAGATTTTAACACTGTGAAAGTATCGTTCACGTATTTCTACCATAACTTAGCAGCAGAATTAAACAGTCTAAGAGCTCTACGTGTATCCATAAAAATATTCGCTACTAATGGAGATATTAGTAACCCAGTTGCCACCCTATGGGTTTGCTTGTAAACTTTATTTTAAAATTAGTATACAATGGTGCTTGGACATATCTGAAAAGATAGTACTATTTTCTTAGAAGTGACCTCATTTATACCAGTAGATCAAGTGACAATGTCCGATCCATACCTAGCTACCCAGTGGTCAAATTTATTTCTGCGTTGGAAACTGAATATCAGCAGGGAGAAACATGGGAATCAAAGAGTATAAAATCACTTTAACTCCTATAAAACAAACGTTCTCATTCCAAGTACCTTCAAGTGAATCTATTCTGGATACTCTGATGCAACCATTTTTAGGAAGACTAACAAGAAATATCACAGAAACCGCGGTATTTATGATTTTCCAGATTTATAATAATCTCTACGCTTACCTTCTCGAAATGAACAACTTGTGACACATTCACTGATTTAATAAAATTCATTTTCTTACCAACTGCAAAATACTAAAAGCATTATAGTGTATCATTTAGTGTTAACTGACATCGGTACTTGGAAGCTACTCACGGCAACTTGTAACCAGATCGAGATAATCAATGACTCGATGATATCTGTTTTTACTTTAACTATATGTCTCGTTGATTTTCGAATGTACATTACGGACGAATTATTGAAAAAATATGAAATTTTCACTGTTTAAGGATGGTGTTCACCTCAAGCAACAGTATTATCAAATATGCAGGGTAAATAAATATCGTCCTTGAATTTCAATACTTTTCCACTGTTTACATTAAAAAATTTAATCAGCAATCTGCAAACAGGACATACAGCATTATTGAATAATATACAGTTATCTTAATTTCGGTATCACATTTTCTCACAAATCTGTTTGCTTTTAAGCTACAAAAATGTCTTTAATGAAACGCATTCAGAATCTTCACCTTTTTTTCTATGAGGAAATTTAATAACGGAAAAAATGATATATTTTAAAACATTGCTTAACAGGTTAGCCCATGCGTTACTATTTACATCTGTTCATTTATCAGTCAGATGATATTGTTAAATTTATTTATGTTAGTTATTTTCAGTTGGAAAATGAGCAAGAAAAAGATGGACTTGGAGAAACGATTCAGGGAATTGGACAAAAATAAGGATGGTGTTGTGACACTTGAAGAAATGAGAAACGAGCTTAAAGATCAAGGTTATCCTGAATTTTTGGCACAAGTAAGTAATATGAAACGCCAGATTTTTCACGCCAGTAAAAATAGGTTGTTTTCCTATGCAAAAAGAGCATTTCAACGATTTTTGACCTAGTCGAATAATCCGCTTTAGATTATTAAAGTTTTCGCAAGTGGAAAGAACTCAAGAAATATGACTCATAATACGACTAGAGATAAGAACTTCAACAACCTTCAGTAAAGAAATATTTCTTTTCAAGGACTTCATTTTGATGCTATACAGTGATGCTTATTTTGGCAATATTTTACGCTGAGAATTCTGTACACTGTGTAATTATTTTATCCAGAATAAAGTCATTATTATTTTTTTGTATTGCGGAAAAACGAATTAAGTGACATTAAAAATTGCCTAATGAATATATATGTGATAAAGATAATTAACGTGACGTGTAAAAAACTAGGTTTAAAGTTAATGAGTCACAATATTTGAAAAGATTATTAAATGAGTAGATTGATAATAAGATTTTAGAAGAAGGTCAAGTGTTCTTAAAAATAAAAAGTAAAAATAATTGTGAAACTAGTAATAATAATTCCATTATAGATAAGATTTTATTTTGATAAATCACACAGTGTTTACAGTAATGTTTACTGATGACGTTTCGAGCACAATTTATTACAGCTCATAATCATATCAAGGTAATCACACGACTTCCTAAATTCATTTATATAGTTCCATTGTTTTTCTCTTGATTTTCACTTGATTTGATTGGTAATAGTATTTTCCATATTTCAGGTATGAGTGACGAGTCATTCCTATTGCATGTGTTGGGTGTAGACTCGATGAACAAGGATTCAGTAATCAACCTCTCTCTCCACCTACCTAGATTACTTTTTAGAATTTTAACCCTCTCCCACCCTATTGTGTGGTTGTGTGTTAACGCATGCATTGCGATTGCTGAGCTTTTTTCTAAATTATTTATCTTCTCGGGGTCAACCATTCTTACCTTAGCTAAATTCTTATGTTCTGACAATCTGACTACCCCTGACCTACTAGTTTGACCTATGTAGTTGACCTGAATCACAGTCATTGCATGGTATTTTGTAAATAATATTATTTTGCCTAATTCGGTCAACTGGGTCCTTTAACCTACAGAGCTTGTCCCTGAATGAGTTTGTAGGTTTAAATGCCACCCTAATTCCTATTTTATTCAGAATCCTACGTAGTGTCTCCGATGTCCCCTCTTTATATGGTATAACTGTGGATGACTTATATTCTTTCTTATTTATGTTATTATTACTAGTTTCACAATTATTTTTATTTTGTTTTTGGCCTTTAATGATCTTCCTAATGAATTTTATAGGATAGTTGTTCAACACCAACGCTTCTTCTATCTGTTTTAATTCATCATTTAGATCTTTTTTTGTGCTACTTAGTGCCACTGCTAGTAATAATAACATAAATAAGAAAGAATATAAGTCATCCACAGTTATACCATATAAAGAGGGGACATCGGAGACACTACGTAGGATTCTGAATAAAATAGGAATTAGGGTGGCATTTAAACCTACAAACTCATTCAGGGACAAGCTCTGTAGGTTAAAGGACCCAGTTGACCGAATTAGGCAAAATAATATTATTTACAAAATACCATGCAATGACTGTGATTCAGGTCAACTACATAGGTCAAACTAGTAGGTCAGGGGTAGTCAGATTGTCAGAACATAAGAATTTAGCTAAGGTAAGAATGGTTGACCCCGAGAAGATAAATAATTTAGAAAAAAGCTCAGCACTGCATGCATTAACACATAACCACACAGTAGGGTGGGAGAGGGTTAAAATTCTAAGAAGTAATCTAGGTAGGTGGAGAGAAAGGTTGATTACTGAACTTCTGTTCATCGAGTCTACACCCAACACATACAGTGGGAATGATTCATCACTCACACCTGAAATATGAAAGATACTACTATCAATCAAATCAAGTGAAAATCAAGTAAAAAATAATGGAACTATACAAATGAATATCAGTAAAACAATTCCAACAGTGGTGTGAACACGGGCAGTAATTTTGCTCGAAATATTACCAATAACAAAACTTATCATTGTGTGTAAACTATTAAAATATAATTATACTTTATTTTATACAAATGAAGTTAGAAAGTTGTGTGATTACCTTGATATAATTATGAGCAATAAATTGTGCTCGAAACGTCATCAGTAAACATTACTGTATAGCACTGTGAGACCTTATCAAAACAAAATTTGCCCATAGTGTTCTTAAAAAATTGAAGTGTGATGACGATAATAACAAAGAAGAGAAAGATGAAGTGAATTAGAATGACTTAACTAAACGTTTTTTTAATACATTGTTTAGGTTTTGTCTATTGGTAGCTAGCTAAACATGACTGTAGATGTTAACAAATGGAAGACTTCACCAGTCCATACTCGCCTTTCACTTAAAAAACCAGGTGGTATTCAGTTACTGGTTTTTGGAAGAAACGCTTATGGCATTCGAGGTACTCAGCTCCACAGACGCATGTCAAGGAGTATATGATTAGTTGTCAAACTTTTTTCTTTATTATTGTAAACCATATCTGTTTAAAGCAATCGTAAGGAAACTACGAATTCATAAAATCTCGTGATATTTGTCTTTCTAATACCTTACCGAAATTTATCAGAGTGACTGACTCTTTCAGTTTCTTTAGTAGTTTCATGTAACAGAGAATTTATGGTTAATCTCTAAGTTATTTGTCTCACAGACTTCACTGATGTATTTACATGCCAGATTACTAATTTAGGTACCCAATAGTCATAAAACTTTCATAGTATAGAAATTCTGAAACCATTCGTATGGCATCTTGTACACCAGTATCTATCCAGAATATGCGGCGGTGGTATCAAATGAACCGTTAGTAACATGCATTTTTCACTCATCAGCACAAGCCCTAAAAAGTCATAAAATGCAGTAAATTTACGTATTATCATCAAAGTAAGCAGCGTTATCGTAATCGTAAAAGTTGAAATACTGGAAACATACTTTCAGGATTTTATTTGCTTCATCAAACTATCTATAAGTGCCAGTCTGTCAGAGTGATGGTTCTTAAAATATTTTATACTAATCACCTCCAAGCTGGTATTCTTATATTTACTGACTTTAGTTCAAACTTCATTTGTTAACTAGGTTTCATTTTTTGCTAACTCTCTCACGATTTTTATAAGTAACTATTTCAAGTATTCATAGGAAAATCTATGTTTCACAAGCTTACCAGTTGGTAGAATGAAGTAGTTTCCTGAAAATGACTAACTCTGACGGAAAATATTATTTGACTACAGAAGTGACTTCATTGTAATAAAGAACGGCTGGAACTTGATGTTTTCCAAATGATAAATAATTCTATGCCGTTTTTCCTATCAATTCGAAATTCGAAACTAATCATACAAACTTTACAATCCACTAACAATATATGCATATACTCCTTAATTTAATTGCTTTATTTTGTTCACACTTTAGAAATTTATGAGTCAGTTCGATGTGGATGGAAATGGAAGTATTACAATGGAAGAATTCATCGAAACTCTTTCGCGTACCGACAACGTAAGTGAACGTATAAGCAAAATGAAAACGAAGATCTTTATGACAATGAAGTCTTGATGAAATGGTAAATATCGAAGTGCATCTAGTTACAGAATTTATCGGCTTAGAGTCATTAATTGGCATAAGGTTATAGTGGTCTCGAAGGCTACAACACTTGTGAAATTGTTCCCATTATATTGTTATTCCCATGGGTTCCCATGGCTTCAGCTGCATATCTCAATTTTTTTCCGTCACTGACAGTCGTTTTTAACTGGCTCCACAATTGCCCACTGTCTCTCATCACCTCCTCACACGACCTCCTCAATTTCACCCTCAGACACTCAACTCATCGTTTCCCATTCCGGTTCCAGTCCAGCAACAGCATGGAGCGCGATGTCACCCAACCATTTCCTCAGGGTATCTGATCCATCTCCATTTTCTTCTGCATATTTGTTGACCAGTAGGTTCTTCGTCGATTCGTTCCCATATTTTCTTGTTGCTTATTCCTTCCGGCTATCTGATCTTCATCACAGCTTTGTTCAAATTATGAAGCCCATTAGAAATGCTCCTCTGGTCGCCGCAGGTTTCTGACCCATATAGAAGTGCCAACTGACTTGACTTTAATGTTTGGAATCCAAATTTCGTCCTTTATTCTGATTATTGCAGGGAATTTTCCAAACTGATTTCAGAGTGATGAATGTTTTTCTTGCCTTTCGGATTCTGGATTCGACATCCTGACCCATGCTGTTGCCTGTAGTTGAAACGATGCTTTCTAGGTGAGCAAAGGAGTTGACATCTTTCAAATTTCTCCCGGCGATACTGACTGATGTTTCACTGGCTGCTTCTTCTGTAAACTTGTTGGTTTTCTCCCGTGGATATTCGATTTTGTATGACACTAGACACAAGTCATCCACAAAAGCCAGATCTTGCAAAGTGTTCTCAACGGTCCAACGTATTCATTTCTTGTCGCTCCCCACCTCCGATGTGCCACACACAATCTAGCCCAATACAAGTAAGAATATCACCAGTGATAGTAGTCAGCCTTGTCTTACTCCTGTCTTCACTTCAATCGACTTCGATCGAGGCTTAAGAAGTTACCTACATGCCTTGTTTAAATTTTCTAAAGATGTTTTGTCCTTGTTAAAAAAAATGCTATCTAAAAGGCAAAACCTTATTCAAACAGTAGTGCACAGCTGCCTGGCCAAGAGCATGATCATAATTAACCCTCACACTGAACAGATTTAGAATTTAATGATATCGTAAAATATAATTTAAAGAATGATGAAAAGTTACATGAACTCTTTTCGTATTCCATGTAGGGAATAGTTTCAGAGTTCACTTCTTATATTTATCAGATATCTGATCATTGTAAACGTCAATTAACAAGGAAATATCTGATACACTAAGTCTAAAATAAATTCGACGTCTCTATTGGTATATTCATTCATTTTTGAGCCCATGGATGAAATATGAGCTGGTAACAAGTGACTGAGGTAGCCTTTAAAACAGCTCTGAAAATCCTCTTCATATAAGCCTTCAGTTTCTGAATAAGGAGAGTCATTTAACAATGGTATCGTCCTATTTGCATTGCTAAGCAACATATTTCACTAGGCTACGACACCTTAGTGATGAGCGCTAGAATATATCGTCTCAGATATCCTGCCTACATTGAGAAGTTTGAGATGTGCAGTTACAACACCCTTCATTTGTGAAAACTTTCCATCCGAACTTGATTATATATATAGCGCTTTATCTAACTATTTTTCGCAACTGTCAACCACATTTATCTGGCTTTTACCATATATGTTTTACAGGGGTTGGCCGAATGAATATCCCTTATTTACATGTTCTTCTTCATTGGAAGAAAAGTCAAAAAAAATTTTCCCGTTGTAAAATGGTTTTTATTCTCTAATTTGATTGTTTAACAATAAACCTTGAAATTACTACTCGATGTGAGGCATTTCTGAAATTTATTTTCAGTATGTAACCATCATGAAGTTGCTCTTTAATAAATCTTGAATTTTTCTTAACGTCAAAACCACAGATAATGGTTTAGTGTTTGTTAAAAAAAACATGTAAGATATGACAAACAAATAAACAACAAATAATCGCTGAAAATTGTTTGTATTCCTTCTTATTTTCCACCAAAATAAAGTGATCAATAATTTTGTTTTTACTATTATTTTGTTGAAACACTTACGCATACACTAGGGAGTAATTTTTAGCGGCCGTTTTCAACGAGTCAGTCATTGAAACCTGGCCGTCATATACAGAAGAAACTAAGTCTTCTTTGTTTATTATTTGTCCTCTACATTTGACAAAAACTGAAAACGAAACTTATTTCTCATAAGCAAAGAGAATACTTAGATATTTGGTTAGTAATGTTATCCTGATGTCAAGATCTTCACAAGTGTAAACTAAGCGTCGTTTCAAGCTGTATAGTGACTCACTTTTTCTCAACACAGTCGATGTTCGAAGTTTGCCTTAATGGACAAAATTTGGCAAAGTATTTAGGAAAAGACCCAAAACAATGAAAAGTCTATTCTGAAGGAAAGTTTATTGAACATATATTAAGTGATTGCCTGAATTTCTTATTAACAGTTTTCGCTACGTGAAAGAATAGAAGACATGCTAAAGTGAGAGGTAGGTAATATCCAAGAAAACAAATAACTTAACGTCACTAAATATCTAAGACAATGAAGCTTATGAAGTATACAACAAGTATGAGTAAAACTTCAGTTATTTTTATAACTGCACGCCTGTCACTTCTTGTTTATCATGCATCAGAACCACAAAGTATGACAGGATAAGTTAATCTGTGATACATGATGAAGAAGGTACATTGTTATTAGCCATTAAATGATAGAGCTTTGGAGAATAGTGAAATCCTGCCAAAACTCATCGTCTGATATTCAGGGCTGATTTGTAAAACAAGACAGATTATTTTAAGATTCTGGTCCTTCGTATCATGATACTATCAAGTGAATATTTTCGCTGTTTTGTGATTGCAAATTAAGGGAAGCTTTATATGAACACTCACTATGACTCAGTATTATTTTGTTTCGAAGACTCCCTGTAAGAGAGGAAATGTTTGTTTCACTCGTGAAATAACCTGTTCACTCAATAAAGCTAAAACAGAAGTGTTTTTATCTTGCCTGAAATACTTTCGGGGTAGTATTAAAATAAATTCTGAAGTAACACATCCAACAGCACCGTTATATTTATGGTTCTATAAGGCATTATCCATAATTTCAGAATGTGTAGTTCAACAAAAGAGTGAACAGATTAAAAGAAGTCATTTTATGCCAAGTAGTAAAATCAAATACAGTAGGTTATTTACACGACTTCATCACGAGTTGACATTAGTTAGAGAACCATTGGAAAACCTGGGACTACTGGACAGCTGTTTCGTCCTAGTTCGGGACTCTGTGTCGCGAATTGGCAGAAGCTGGAATTCATGAGTCATTGGATCGGGTCCCAGTGGCCTGAAGAGTCCCAAACTGGGAAGAAACAGCTGTCCAGTACTCCCAGATTTTCCAATGGTTCTTTAACTAATATCAGCTCATGGTGAAATCCTGTAACCAATCAAATCCCTACAAACCAACACTTGAATAACAACAGGTTATTATACTGCTATTTAAAAAATAAATTCAAATACTTACGAAGAAGAAATAACGGTATCATGGCTAAAAAAGCAATCTAAAAATAAGAGGCGTATACAGAGGACTCTGAAACATTCAATTGTTACTCAACTAGGCTGATATTTTCCAACGGAAAACCTCTTTGCACGCCATGCCTTTAAGTTATTACTGACAAATGTTTTCATTTAAATTGGGTTTCTAATCCCGTGAATACACAATCTGAGTGTTGTTCATTAGTTTTTTAGTCGAAAGACAAATGCTGACTGTCCAGGGTGTCAGTATATAAGACTTAAGTGTTGTTTTTGGCTGTATAGCAGCTGGTTGCATTTGACAGTTTACAACATTTTAGTAAACACTGATAGGCAGATCTACATTACTTTTTTAATATTAGCTCCACTATTCTTAAGTTGTTAACGTCTGTTTCATCCCGTTGCACCTTATAAATGTTAGTAAAAAAATCAGATGAAATTCAGTAATGTATCACAGTTACCAAAGACTGGGATCATTTAACCTATATGCTGGTGAAGAGAATGCTGTTGATAACGAAACATTGGGACTTTCTGGTTAACTTACAGTTTCTGTAAAGCGCCATTGTTTTCCATCTCAGCAGGTTTTCTTATGCGTACTATGAATTCTTGTTCATTTCAACTATACTCGTAACTGATATAGTGAATTTCGTTTTCCAGAACATTTACTAAGTGACTTCTACCATTTTCCGTTGATATTATGTGATACGCTGGAATATTCCGTAAGTATATTATATTCAGTTCATTTTAGATGTAATGGTGAAGAAAGGCTTCAAATCATGCAACTCTTGCATCTTATAGGAAACCACCAATTTTCTTAAATGTCCCACTGTGTTAGGCAAAGAGATATAGAGATTTTGTGATACCATTTAAATTCCTTAGTCGTTCAGGGTTATCAAATAATTTTTTAGGCCAGTAATATCAGATATTCTGCTGTTTGAAATGCATGAACATGTTTGCAAAAGACAATACTTCATTTCGTATTCTAGAATCTTTTATATACAGACAGTTATCAAGCTCTTTGTTCATACCAAACCCAAAAGACGTGTCAGCCAGTGTGATATGTTTATTTAAATTAAGACGGTTGTAGTAATTTCATAAATACAGTATGTGCAAAGAAACTTGGGATGATAATCAGGCAACCACAAAGAAGTATAAGAAGTCAAATTTGTGCTGGCTTTATTTAAGGAGTTACAAATGATCTCGGTTGTTACTAAAAGTAAATAAATACTCCAAAAGATATCTAAGCTTAGTTGACTAACCGTTAACCAGTAATGGAATTCCACAGTGAGATTATTTTTGACAAGACAGTATTACGGTCAAATGAGAAAATGGATTATTGGAGACCTCAGAAACTAGAAATGACTAATACTCAAAAGTAGGAATAAATGTTATGCAAGATATGACTATGAATATTATTATTATTAGTGAATAAGTTATACTTTTACTAATAAGTACACAGTTGTGATTATATATTACGTATTTAGAAATAAAAGAGTAAATTTATCCAGAAGTAGACTTAGTCACGAACCAATACCATTTGGTGAATCACTGCAAACCATGGAGAACAGAACAGTTATTTGGTTCTAGTTAGTCTTCAACAGTGCGCCCGTGTTACTTCAAAAGAAACTGAACTCATAATCTTCAAGTTACAGGTCAATTCTGTTGACTGCTGAAGTACTGAGCTGAGGTAGAATGGCCTACTTACGTGTGTGATGTATAGCGACATCTCTACTCAGTGTCATTGGTGACAGTATGTCCTCAAACTAGACTTGTGTAACTCTACAGGTCAAAAGAGGAATAATTAGTCTCCACTAGACTTGAATTATTATGCATATGCTTTATAAAAAGCGAAAAAAAACAACATTTGATGAAGGTAAAAATTTCAGTGAAAGAAAAAATCATGTTGAAACGAAACAAACGTTTGAAGTTGCATATTTGTGTTCTTGAATAGATTAAAACTAATTATAACACACTTATTTTTATACCACTGTTCACCGTGAGCAATTTGCAAGAGTAATTGATTGACATACACATAGCTAAAAAAATTGGCAGTTATAAGAAACTAACTATTAAAAATAAAACAAGTTATGCAGGTGAGTAGGCGAATTAAAAGTTAATTGAATTTCCAATTTCACTTTGTAACCGTAATTTGTGTTTTATTGTGCATTTGGGGTAGGAATCAAATTTTTTACGAACTTTAATTGCTGTATGTGATTAAACTGTTGGCTATGAAGCATGAATTTGTTTGCTTGTTGCACTATGGATGTAAACTTTATAGTAATACATCACTGAAAATGGTAATCTACTAATTCAAATAACAAATACTTAAAAAAGATAATTGATTGGCATTTTGATATTTCATGGTGCGATGATCTCTTTATTTGATATACAATTTTGTTTGAAACAAAAATAAATCAAGGAATTTTAAAGCTATTTTTAAAAACGTTGTTGGTTCATTAAATTTCCTGATAGATAAGACTAATTTTAATCCCATCTAAAGAGTGACACATAATCATAATTACTTGAAGATCATCATGTGCTACTTAAATTTTGTTACGTTGCTCAGATTTTATTTCATCAGTTCGTAAATGACAAACTAACACGATTTTAGGTTTTAAAACGAAATGTGTACTTATCTTTTTTTGTAGATTAAAAATATTACCTTGTGACACTGAAGGATTCTAATATAATTTCTGTCGTTGTTTTTTTATACCGTACATTCATTTGTTCACATATAAATAAAGTGCATTTGCTTCGGCAATTTGAAAGAATTTCAGACAGGTTGATTGTTGCAAGTTTATCAGGTTAAAGTTGTAGTCACTGTTTGACACCGCTTTGACTTAGCTTAAGTTTATAAGTACATGCACGGGATGGAATTATTTCTTGACTGAAATACACACACTGACTATTGAAAGTCAGCGGTGATTACCACTTAATCTATCAAAATGCCATGCAACGGACTCACTATTGTGACTTCAAAATATAACCCTTTACAAATACCACGTGGAACGGAAGTGTACATTGAAGGAAATGAGCGTATTCCCAGACTAGCCAATGACTTCATGTCACAACTTTTATGATTAAAGTCAGTAGGTTATTGTCGCACAGGAAGTTTTAACAGTTGAGCTTTGTGCATATTGGTCAAGTTATCCTGACTGT